CCCCAAAACCCCAAAACCCCAAAACCCCAAAACCCCAAAACCCCAACTGTCATCATAAATATTGAATCTTCAAGAATTCCTTTAGGCTTTGAGTTTTACTTGGAAGATACCTTAGTATTAGGGGATTTACTTAAAATCTCGGAGCTTTCATTGATGATATCTTGCTTATATAAAGATTTATTATAGATTAAAAGTGGAAAGGAAAGAATTAAGATTTAAAATTAAGCTACAAACCCAAAAACATATATCTTCATCTTATCATTAACTCACACACCCATGATCATGACACCCAAACCCCCCATTAGCCTTCCAAACCCCCCATTAGCCTTCCAAACATCTCGCCTAACCCCTAACACACCCTTCCACCAACTACCAAGATCCCTAATAAAACCTATCACTAAAATCCCACTAATTCCTCTTCTTCGAACAAAGTGCTGAAATACAAGAAATTAACTGTAATTTTAGGGATTTGAGTTATTAGTGGGATTATTAGGGATCTAAGTGGAATGGAGCAACGGCAAATTGGAAAGAGAGGGGCTTAGAAGGGGTTTAGAGGTAGGTTATGGGGTAAGTGAGGGGTTAAGGGAGAGGTGAAAGGGATGAAAGGAGGGGATTTGGTAGTGGTGATTGATAGTTAAGATGAGGTTTGGGTGGGGTTTGGATATTAATGTGGAAAGAAGTAGAAATTAGAAAAATTTATGCTGAGTGAAGAATTTTCATTTTAGCTATTTATTCATGGGAAATTTTTATTGATATTAACAAACTTATCAACAATAGAGTTTGATTTTAATAATTTACCCTTAAAATCTTCTAATTCCCCCAAAGACTTAAATTCTCTCTTCAAATAAGTCTGGGAGTTATGCTACTATTTTTCTTTGAAATTTCAGTGACTAAATAAATTTTAAACAATAAAATTAGAAAATCTAAGATTCCCATGCTTAATAATTCTAATAAAATAAATTCTCTTGGAAATATGTGATTTTTATGGAGAGGTAAAAATTATACAATAGATTTCATTGATTATTTCTTTAAAAGGGGTTTTGGGGTTTTGGGGTTTTGGGG